GTGCTATAAACGTATAGCCAGCTTCATCAAAATGTTCAGGCTTCAGTGTTTCTGAGTCTAAAAAGATGAAGAGAAAACATCACATAAGAAACCAGGCTCATTCCGCCCCCCACCTTTTTTTTTTCCTGAATTATTAGACTAGCTTTTGCATGCATTCTTGAATTTAGAAAGAAATGTTTAGTTTGGAATACTTTCCTACTACTACATTGTATAGCTGTCAGTATTTCAGACTGTGGGAAGAAATTACTTGATTATTATATATAACACATCTGGCAACAATAAAGTTTCGGTAACAATTTAGTTAGACATGACATTTAATTAACATGAAAACATGAAAATGTGTGGCACATTTTCATTAGAATTACAATCTGATACAAAGAAATATTTGGGAAACTGAGCAGCTAGAACACAATGACAAATCATTGTTTATGGTACTTTCAGCAATAGGTTTTACAAACTTAGCTTAACAAAAAATCACGTTAAATGCTACTGGAAATAACAGCTTTAAAAAACTGGTGTCATCGAATTAGATGACAGGACCAAACAAACAAGGATTAGAGAGATTAGCCACATACTGAAATGTGCATGAAAACAAAAGCAACAAAAACATTTTTCATCTTTTATTTTGCCTTTTCTAGCTCTGGTACCCAATGATAATGGCAGAAATCCTGAGATGACAAATACAGAGGAGAATGTCCAGTAGGAATAGAAATATAGTGAAAAAATATCAACTGTAGTAAACAGAAGGAAATTGAGCAACAAGAATATACTTGCCCTTTTTGATTGCCACTATCCATCAGAAAGAGAAAGCAGGGAAACAGAAAAAAAACAGGGTAAAGCAAAAGGGGTCACAAACCAATATTTTATTCAAACAGCCCCTTGAATAAAAATATTGTGCATAGATAGATCAAAGGTTCAGTTTATGTACAGCTGTAGTCTGGAAAAAAAGACAAACATCTCTGAAGACTGAAGAACATGCCCGGGCCCATTACTTCTCAAGTACCTTCCACATACTGCGGCTATTTCAAGGGTCTGCTTTGCAGGTTATATTGACCTGAGTGCAAAACTAGACAAGCTAGTCCATAAAGAGAACCATATTCATTCACTGAGACCTAACTTTGAGCTACTCGGTAAATGACAACGCTACAAAATTAATAACACAAATTCACTTTTTAGTAAAAACTTGCCATATTCCATCTCATATCCAGACGTGATGGAAGAGGATGGCGACTTATGCTAATCAAGTTTTCTCTGAACTAAGAGACTGTCAAAAATCTTTATCACGTTTTTCTGATTTTGTACTTATCTACCTACTTGGTCAAGTTTATTGTAAAACTTGGATAAAGTTAAAAGGATGAGATGGGCTCTATTTTGTCTACTCACATCACAGCTAAACTACATCTAATAAACAAAAGCTTTTGAATACTCACAAGTATCATTTCCCATTATCTCTCCAGAATCTGTGAACAGCTTGAAATTAGTCTAATTAAAAAATGTATCACAAACATCCACTAAAACTACTTAAAAATGTGCAACATAAAGAAGCAGCTGCAGCCAAACTAAACAGCACTCTCTTACTAATCTATTTCTAAAGGTAATTTGGTAGATGTAGTACTGTAACTGCTGCAAAAAATAACAAAAGAGGCTTTGCTGCTATAGTCTAAATCATAATATTTGGCTAATAGAATGAGAATATTAGTATCCAGACCCTTAAAATGACAGCAACAGAGGATACACAAAGCAATGATTCTACAGGTACGTAGCAAGGGGAAAGGGGTTGTCAGTGAAATCGGGGTACCTGCACATATTCTAGCTATGTAGAATATTTCTTGTACCTTAGATGTTAGAATGGGTTAGAATCATTGCTACAGATTTTGGGTACATCATGATAACATTAAATTCCACAAATTTTATGAATTTTTAACATTGTATTTTTAAGTAAATCTAAGCCTTGGCAATAGTTCAACAAAACTAGGCAACCTTCATAGTACTTACATCTAGCTTGAATTATTGGTTCTTCTATTTTGGCTTTAATATAATAAAAGCTGTATGATGGTAATACCAATGCCAAACTGCAATAGAGATTAGAGAAATATAAACAAACAAACAAACAAAAAGTCAGAAAGAACACTTATGTTATCTGAAGCACATTCCTAATTTTAGCATTTTAGCATGTGCTATGAAAGTAATGAACAACTTTGGAAGCTGAATCACTGTGAGATGAGATAGCCATTTAGTGACACAATAGCCCCATATTTTCTAAAAGATACAGGGAGGTTCGTGGCCCAGTCTTGAAGTTCCCAGCATTTATTTTGATTCTTTTTTATGCATTTAGGCATAAATGTACTTCATCTGTAAGCAAGGAATTTTCTTTATGGACATATTATTCTAAACAGTAACATGATACAGTCTCCTGTATCTTCATCACACTTGGCACATCACATTTGACAAATGTAATACATGTCAGGGGGTCATTAACTGTAAAAAACAGCATATAGAACTGCACTAATGGGTAAGCCGCATATGATGACTGGTTGTCCTGTTACTAATATCTTGCAGTATTTGAATTCACATTACCTTCAAGAAGTAAAATGTTTCCAGAATGATGCAGTCACCACTAATAACCTTTGAATATCATTGCATAACATATTAAGATTTGCAATGCATTTACAGTATTACTTCTTTTAGTTTTTTTTTAATATGTATATAACGCATATATATATATATATGCGTTAACTTATTACAGAGATTCTCTTCACCAAATGCATGGAAGTTTACCTCTAAAAAGCTACGTGTAGGGCAGCAGGTACAAATCATCATCAGAGATGTATCATCATCTCCCACATCACAGCCTTAATATTTGCACTCAGTTTTCATGAATATAGAACTGCAACGGGTTCTAATGGGTAACTACAGGAATTAACATGAAAACAAGTTGCACAACTGGGCCATAAAAGAGATGACCTTTAACAATACATTTGCCATTTAAATAGAATGTGAGATTGCTGCATATTTAGCAATAGCCTTCTACCAATGCTTCTCTGGGGAAATCACTAGCAGTTTACCTGTCATTAGGGGTTATTGCTAACAGAAACTGCTAATTAAAATCTATAATTTTATATTTAATGGGCTTTCTGCAATGTGACTTTACAGAAAGATTACTGTATCTCATGCCAGGAAGCTTAGTAAGAATTAAGAAGTCCTATAAATCAAATGTGTTTCTTTACATATTGCTAGGTGGCATACCATGATTAAAAAAAGTAAACTTTTTTTCTTACTGAATATAAAGACAGAAGCTAGTCAGCATAGAATAAAATACAAAGTTTTACATTTACATTCACTTGTTAAAATTAATTTTGTTTGACTTTGCATACAAATTAACCTGTGCATTGTCATTAGTTGTATGTCTGTACAGTGCCCAGAAGCAAAGAGAAGTCAGTACTACAGACCCTACCACAAAAAAGAAATTACTTCTCCAAAACACTATACATGTATAGCATTAAAAATCCTTGTTTCTAATTCTGCATAATGCACCTAAATTCTTACATCAACAATGACTTTTTTAATGATGATATACTCAGATCTGCAAGGTCCTGCAACCTAAACTGGACACTGAAGACAAGAAAGCAGATTCAATTTTACTACCATTTAGCAACACTCAGTTTTGAGCTAAAGGAGCTTTAATGTTATGGGACTTGGTAAACCTTTATTTCTTCTGGATGATATCAGGTTGCCACTTGCCCTCTGACACCACAGGTTTGTATGGTTAAAAAGAAGATTGAAATAATGCACGTTGCAATACTGTATTCAAGTTGGGTATGCCTTTCACTGTCACTTAATTTCTTTTTGCTGCCATTTACCGTATTTTTTTTACATGCAAAGCAATATCAGTGCTAGTTAGTTAAAAACTGATCAATCACAATTAGGTACAAATTTCAGAGGAGGGATGAAAAAAAAAAGTGCAAAATAAAAAATACTGCCACAGAAGATAAATCAGTTACCTGTAATCAGTGCCATTCACAGCAGTCCATGTATATGTTCTATTTCCTTTATCGATATATCTCTACAAAGCAACATTGGTGAACAAAGAAATTATTAACTCACGTGGTTCAACAATAACTTCATTTTCTTGAGAAACAGAGTGTAAAATCCAGCACAAATCTGTCAGGATTTCCTTAATTAATTGGGATTTATTTATTTCGACTATTTCATTGAAAGATTGAGTTGAGCTGCAACTGCTTTTTCTTAAACAATTCTCAAAATTATATAATGCAAAACATTGATTTGCATCTTTTTTATTGAACAGCAAAAAAAACCTCAAATACAAATTCAAATAAAATCAGGCATAAATATTACTTAATATATACCATTTTATATTTGTTAGATCAATTTATACAAATCTTTTCCTCTTTGCTTTAAATGAGATAAAAGATGAGATTGTCTTAATGGATTGCTTTAAGCTCATTAGGAGATTCTTCCATTTGGGTAAAATTTACCATGAAATAAGGGTTTTTTAAAAAAATTAACTTGGTACACTAAAATAAACTTTACCATTCCTTTTCTTTTTGTGTAAAAACTGACATGACAGATACAGTCCCACAGCTCCCCACTGATTTAATCATTAATAATGCACTTGGCTGAAATAGTTTTATTTGATTTTCTAAGTTCAAAAATTACTGGTTTATGCCATCTGAGATGTATCATTATTTTGCAGTCAAAGACTTATAAGTATGCCTGATATAAAGTCAGTGCAGTAGTTACACTGCAATACTACAAATAAGAGTGAAAGGTATCACAGATGTATGTCTACGGTCTTTCTTTCTCTGGGCTAAAATAGGAATGACCATGATTATAAAGAAAAGATGTTTTTTTGTAGGACCTTCATGTTTTGATACCTTCTCACTATCTGGCTGCTGCTCTTTCCAGCACAGCAAAACAGGTGTAAATAATTTGAAAGTCATTTTGGTAAAGAAAAAAAAAGAAAGAATGCTTATATTAGTGGCTAGTGTTCTGATACATTTCATATTTGAGGTAAAAGGATAGCTGAGCAGATTCCTTCCTAAGGCTATTTATATTTAAGAACACAACTGTGACCTTATGATTACATTTTGTCAAAGACAACTCAGCATATCGCACATCCTCCTGCGTCTGCTCCCATTTACCTCTGCCTGGGTTGTCACTGGGGTGTCCCACCACCAGGTGGGCACTGCCGTAGAGCTCTGCATACGTTACTGCAGCTTTGGGGACCTGTCTCCACCGCTCACCACAGCTGTCCACTTGCAGCAATGCTTTCAGTGCTCTGGCATCTCCTCTGAGAGCTGAGAAGCCTCCAATGCCTTGGGAGACTCCAGCACATCCCCCCACATGTGCTATGAGCTCTATCTCATTAATTCCAAGCCTCAAGACTGCAACTGTCACCTCAGAACCATATCAGCCCTTTTTGTAAGCAAATATATGAAGTTATCAAGCCTTTAAGATAGTAGTTATCAAGCCTCAGGCCCAGCAGCACTACAGTGTCGTGGCCTGCAGCCATAACATGCTGGGCCTTGAGGCCATCAGCACCAGCAGCAGCCCATGGCTATGACCTCCTTCCTTCAGAGCAGAGGAAGAAATCTGGGTTCACAGTACGAGGCAAGATGAGGGTTAAGTTCCCTTCCACCTTTGCTTGGGCACTTTAAACATCTGGGAACAAGAGACTTGACATTACTTTTTTACTTTTTTTTTTTGGTACCAAATTGAGAAAAAGTTTATAAGAATCTTCCCTCATCCCGTGCATAACAGATTCAGAAGACTGCTTGTAGGAACGCCTCAGTGTTGGGTAACTTGGTGTGATCTGCACATGATTTAAAGCAAAGCTTGAGAGTGACTACCATCTAATAATGTTGAATGGAAGGTAAGTATTGAATTCCCATTTTTTTTGTCAGAATTTAAAAGAAAAATCAATTCTCAGGACTTACGTTGACTTCCTATCAATTTAACTGTTTGAGTCTGTAGCATATGACTCAAGAGAATAATTTATTTCCTGGAGTATTCTGCTATTTAAATGTAAACCTAGCAGAGCTGTTGAAGACACCAAGGCAACTGGAGACCACGAGGGCAGTTAATGCTACACATGAAGAACTAGTTGCACACGCTCTAACGACTCTGCTTGGTACTGGTATGGTGTTCACATATACGTAAAGGTCATGTAATGTTTGTTATATACTTATTTTTTATGTTCTCTTCATGTTTCTTCTGACAAAATGTTAAACCAGCCCTCTTCAAGCTAGTCTGCTTTCAAAATATAACAATTTCAGAATGCTGTTGTGGAACTGTACCGGTGGGGCACACTCTGGCCATAATTTATCCTCTTCGTATTTGTTCTTGGGAACTTTGGTAAGAGCATACATGCAAGAGTCCATAGCAAATACAGGCACTTCATACTGCTAGGAAGCAACTCCTCCTTGTTAGAGCAAACCAAACCAGCAGCAATCTTAATTTAAATCAAGATTTTGGAAAAGCGAATAAAGAGAACCAAACAAGTTATTTAGAAAACACAAGTACATAATGTAACTGTAAGATTAATTAGCCTATGCCAAATGGTCTTCATTCAAGCTTTACAAATGTTGCAACTATATTTTCCCCATTAATTTGTTCCCATTCAACCAAAATAGAAATTAACAGTCTAACAGTCCCATTCTCATCCACCTCCCTAAGCACATTTAGTATTTTGTTTTGGGATTCATGTGAAGAAGTCAGCTGGGTTTGCTTGGGGAACAGAATGCAAGACCTCATCAACAGCTGCCTAATTAACGGTGAACAAAAGAAAGTGAGAACAAAACAATGTATTTCTGAATAAATACATAATTCTGTTTACTATAATCAAGTACAAAGTGGAAATCAAGGAGGGAGGCAGGAGAACATAAAATGACATTACAAAATGAATATCTTTTCATGGTTTCACATTATTATTACCTTTTTTCCTACAAACATAATAACCTGTGTTGCTTTCTTACCTCATCTTGGGACTTGACCAATGTTTCAAATGTTTTTTCTCCACTTTCTCCATCTATCATTTTTTTCCGAATCTATAGGCAAGAACAGCAACAACAACAGAAATAAAGACACAACCCAAGCAAAAAGATTAGGTGTTCCACATAACATAATTAGTATTTTCAATGATTCTAGGTATTTTATAGGAATTAAAAAATAGTAAAGCATTTGAAAGTCATAGCTTTTTACAAACAGTTTATTATTTTCTGAATGCTCTAATTAGAAAATAGAACTTGTTCAATACAAATATATACTGAATTATTAGATTTGTGAAGCACCAATTCATTTTGCATAGCAAGATCATCATATTAAGTACACTCTTGACATTCGGTATTAAAGTGAATATGATTTTGGTGGGTATGAGGAATGAGCTTTGTCTACCATATCAAATGCGTTCCTGTACTTCTGTGTCATTTTGCCTCATAGTGTTTTAACCGGAAAGATACATAAGAAATCACATTGCTGTCAGTCATAACTTGGCTCTTAGTTTTTGCTTGTTTGTTTGTTTGTTTGTTTTCCTATCATAGTAATAATGCAGCACATTGCATTAACAAGAAATAGGAAAAATATTTTTTAAGTATTTCAGGTAATGTACTCATATCCTATTTAAGAGTTACCTGCTTTTAAAATATTATAAAACAAACAAAAAGGAATCCCCATGTAGCAAAGCAAATTGATAGTTATTATTTAAATAACATCTATGGTTTCTTTCAAAATGAGAGAAATAAAATCCATTGTCTTTGCCTAAGAAGAATATAGAGACTCAAGTTATTTTCTAGAAAATTAGCATTATAACTTTATCTCTCTAAATTCATAACCTTCAACAATTTCAAATTAAAATTTATGAGGCAAATTCCCACTGAAAATCCAGAATATTTCAGGGATTGTTTAGGGAAACATTCCATGCAGCAAGAGATACTGAGTAACCAGCTCTTCTCACCTCAACTTTAATATCATTCTCCAACTCCGCATCTAGAAAATCCAGTGTCACGGGCTCCTGGGATTTAGGGTTCTGAAGCAAAAGATAATAAACGATCAAACAACAAAGATGGCATGTTGTAACATTACAAACAGGTTGCTGGAAGTCACTCTAATCCCCTCATTTATTTAAACTTACTTACCCTTCCACCTTTAATTCCTGACAGTGTAAGGAATTACTAGTGGCCCCTTCTCATTTATTTCATGTTGTTTAATGAAGAGGGTAATGGGGCAAGCAAGAATGAGATTAACGCCCAGGGCTTATATCTGGCCACCTTCTGTCACTGGTGGTGCTGTGCTAAGAAGTGGCTGGTTTGTCACAACTTGTAGTATGGGAGAAGAAGGGTCCGGACGCATTGGACAGCAACTTGTTCTGCCTCTTGAGCAGAAGAGGGAAAGACTGACCAGGAAAATGGGACAATTACACTACAGCGCATTTTTGTCACTTTGCAGACTGCGGAGTTGCTTGTAGGATGCCTGGCTAGACTGAGGTTCAACAAGAGGCAGCCACTGTAACAGTGGATTTGCTAATTATAACTAACGAACCATCGAGTTGACGGTCAGCTCTGCAGGACTGTCCCAAGCCCCTGTGAGGTTTGAACGCATTGATCACTCAGCCAAGCACTGCTGAGAAGTGGTCTCATATGGTAGATTAGAAGAGGAGTAAAGCCCAGGTTTATTTCTCTATTCTGATTGAAAATAATTTGCATTGTATAATAGTACAGTTTATATAGCACAGGATCTTAAGGCTAAGTTTCTCAGTAACTCTGCCCTGGTTTTGGTATGAGTAATACAAACACTTACTGGTGGACACTGTTCTTTCAAGACTAACGAAATTTGTGATAATAGCTTCTTTATGAGCTTTCAGTGATTCAGCTATGGTAACAGATTTATTGAGTAGATTTAAGTTGCTTCATTTAAAACTTGACTTTTTAGTCTTTTTATTCTAATAAGCTAGATTCATTAGGATTATACAAGATACTTTGGTGTGACAAATATACAGGTGACTATTCTATCAAACAGTGCAAGCAGGATTCTCCTTAAATTTTACCTTTATTTTCTGTTTTTTATTTTCAGTTTCTACTGGAAGAAAATCCTAAATAGCTGGGAAAAGATGCCTTAAGGTAACAGTCTAGAGTATTAAGTGTTTAATTGTACTCCCAATGTCCAGGACTTCAATATAAAATAATATAAAAAGATACAAGATTGTTCCTTTATATTTTTGAGGAACAAAAGGACCTGCTACTGGATATATGGATTTTTTTTTTTTCATTTTCTTGGCAGGTAAGTGTTATTGTCTGCCATGAGAAAAAAAGTATTCTCAGAAAGAAAATATGCAGTGGAAATACTTCAGACAAAAGATTCTGACTATCTTTTTTCCTACGTCTCTACTGATAACTGCAAAGGAATGTGTATGCTTTTATTTATATAGGATAAATAAAACTAGTAACTTCAATATAAGATATATATTAATTCTAAGACCCATACTTTAAACATTCAGTGTAATTTATCTTTTGTTATTCAGTGCTTTTTTCCTCCCCCAACAAAACTACCCTCTTAAAATAAATAGCAAAAAGGCCAAAATGTAAAAATAAATGAAGAAAATGCATTTTCTTACATGCAATGGATAATGAAAGCATGGTCAAACCCAAACAGCATGCATGAAGGCATTGTCATGGAAGAAGTGGCATTTGTGAAGATCACATTCCATTCCAACACACAAAGAAACAGAAAAGAAAAGAAATGGTAATAAAAAGGAAAAAAAGCGCCATCACATCCAATCAAGGTCAATTATTTATTTCAAATGATAACCTGGGTTAGCCATAGTTAAGGAGTCCCAAAAAGAAAACAGTCAACATTAACAATCTGTCAAAATTCAAGTACTCATTAAGCAATTCTCCTGGAGTTACTCTAGAGTTACTTTCCATCCCCCACCTTTATAAGGTACTTATCAATGTTTTTTTAATAGATGAGAAGACTAAGTATAAACAGATGATGTGATGTGCCCAAGGCACAACATAATCTGTTAGAGATTAGAATAGAAACATAGTTTCTAGTGCAGTACTTTAAAGGGAAGACTATTCCCTGCCCCTCCCCCTTTTTTTTTTTCCTCAGGAATGAGGATTTACCGTATTTGGGCTCCATATTTTTCTCTTCCTAGGTTGCCATTTTGAGGGACTTATTCCAAGCCATGAAGAAACAAACTTACGGCTCAGTTTGCTCTTCTCCTATCCAGTCATGCACACGACATGACTAAACCAAGCACACCACCACTACATCAACTAGCACAACTCAATTAAACAAAACAAGGGTAAATCACTAGCAAATGAGGCATGCAAATAAAGGGAGCATGATCCATTTCTAGCATGAAAAGGAAAGGCGAAGATCTATTACTTCAATGGCAAATCAGGAAGGAAACAAAGAAAGAAAGAACTGGTGCAGCAACATAAAAATAAGTTCATTAAAATGCCATGGTTGGGTGCTTTTGAGCACCCAACTCAGTATTCTCACAAATACTAGGGAAGGCATCTGAGGTGCAGTCGCTGAGCTCTTATCCATCCCTGCCCTGGTAATGACCATATGGGCCATTGGGCTTTCACAATACATGGCTTTAATGCCAAGGGAAGCAGCAACACCTTGGGTGCTGGAAGGAGGCTGGAGAAGTGCCTATATTCTCCTGTGTTCTGGCTTTCTCCAGTGTGTGAAATATGAATTTAGTGCAGAGAGCGTCTGCTAGGTGCAGTGTGGGCACAGTCACTGGGCTCAGCAAAGCCCTTGAGTTGTGCGAGATCAGGACCTCCAGCCCCCGGCTTCTGCACCTGAAGACCCTACAGTCTGTTCCCAGATGTGGGAGACATTAACATGTTGTAATGTATGTAATTTTGTTATTTTGTTATTTTGCTATTTACATAGCTGATCTATTCCTTTAATGATTTTTTTTTCTGTTTCCATTGTTTTCTGCCCACGGACTGCATTACATATATGTTATTAATTGCCTTTTCCTGGCTGGAGTTGACAGCATTTAATCCTCAATGGAGTTGGGCTTGCTAATCAGAGAAACCTGTTGTAAATAACAGACAAAATGTATGCTCCAGCTTCTGCAGAAAAGAGTTAACATGAGATTCAAATTCTGTAGTGTTATACAGCATACATTGCACAGTAACACCTGGTAATAAATGATCCTTGAACTTGGAGTTTATGAAAGTGAAGCTAGCACAAGCAGTCTCCTTTTTTTTTCTTTTCCTCTAGTCTTCAATTTCTTTTCAAAATCTGAAGAGTAGTTTTTACAGCATAGCTCTAATTAGCACCTATTAGTAAAGCACCATAATTTAACAAAACTCGCTACAGTCAGTAATATGTTTTCTATTATTTCAACAAGGAAGGATGCAAGCTTCATGCTTTGGAAGCTGTTTGGCAGAGTAAACAGTTCCCTAGTTAGATTTTTCCTAGTAAAGCAGGGCAGCAGCTTTCTAGACGTATTTCCAGTCTATGCACTCTAATGCACTAGTCACCTCCATCCAAAGTTACCTGTACATTGGGTCTCCTTTTTCTCAAATTAACTTTTGGTATGCCCACACCAATATGCTAAAGTAACAAAAAAAGCAGTAGTTTATACTTTCACACTATTACTAAACAGACCATTTAGAGAACTAATGTCTTCTCTCAGCGCCTATGAAGTCCAGCGTGCATTTTCCTGGAAGCTCATTTTGACCGAGAGTTTGAGCTCTTTGACAGAATTACAGGTTTTGTTGAAGCAAACAGAAAATTGGCATATGCAAAACAAAATGCATCAAATTAACAGAGCTCTTCATCACACGTGTTTTGCCAGAATTAGAATAAAGAAAAAGATAACGGTCACTTTTGGTTGCCTGCTAATCTACTCTTAAAACTAACACTCCCCCTAGTTTTCTTTTAAACAAAAATACTGGACCCTACTGCAGGCATCTGGATTTTTAAACTTAATAATGAAAGGATGTGGATTAGAACTCTAAGGAAAAAGGAGAAAAGGATTTCAACCTTTAGAACATATCCAGAAATTCAACTATTTGCTATTTTTAAATCCAGTTCAAATCCAATAATCTAAACACAGGCTTAGTGCAAACTAGCTCCACTTATTTCAGTGACTACATTTATTTGGTGGGATATTCTGCTGCTTTCTCAGGATGATGGGGAAACATGTGTTCACACATACACAAAAAATGACAGAAAAAAATGCAAAATTAAGTATTTCTTTTAGAAGGCAATCCACCACTACAATCACTTTGAAAAAAAAAATGCTTACACAGTTTAGGACTAAATTAAACTGAAAATTTTTAAAAGGCTTCTTTTATTATGTTTTCATGTAGTTTTCATGTACAAATAAAAACATGTTAGGAAAATTCCTGACATTTTTAATCTGCTTTTGAAATCATCTTTTGTTAGATTTCATTGGTTGTGTAGCCCATTTAATAAGTTTAGAGTTTCAAGGGGCTTTTTTATGAGATGATACTGCAATAAAATTTCTCAAAAATGTTAATTGTGTTGTACCAGTTTTCATTCCAGGTGACAGATTTTAAGGAGGAAAGCAGAAGGCATTCAGAAGAAGGAACTATTGGCAGTTTGATACACCCTCACCTCTTCAAAGGTAAAGACGTAGTTATGTTTTAGTTTACATCTATGGAAAAACTGCTGGCAAGGAGGGTTAAGATGTTGTTAGTTAATACGTTAACAGCTACCAGGAGATTCAACTACAATTAATATGACGTGTTAAAGAAGGTCCATGAGGTCTAAATATACATCTGTCTTTGTAGTGTACCTTAGTTTTAAAACGTAGTTCTTGTATCAGTCTGAATAGCATGCACCACCCCAAACAAACTGGGAGTGAAAAAGTCTAGTCTGTGTAACTGTTAATAACAACAATAACAATAATAATAATGCATATGCTTAATATCACATTTAGACATTATTTTAAAACATAAAACACAAAATAATACTTATAAAATATCCATTATTAAACATATTCCAAATTAAACATTAGAAATGCATTTGAAAGCATCTCTGAACTTCTGAGTCCGTTTAAATAACAAAGTATATCAGCTCCTCACACGACTGTGCCTAAAATAAAGCTACTACATTGCTGCAATTTGCATTCCTTCTGTTAAAGAAAGGGCTCGTCTCCTTGTCTTTAAGAAAAGGTAGACAAACCACTCTCCAACCTCTGAGTTCCCAATAACCTCTAACGAGGAAATGGATCAGTCAATAATGATGCAATTATTTGCTTGAGGATAATTCAACAAACTGAATCACCATATCAAAACTTCCACTTTTCTTGGCAATATTATCAAGACCTAATGCGTATTTGCAAAACCTGAAGCACAGGTAAATTATAAAATCTCTCTCTATACATATATATGTATATAATTATGAAAATCCTTATTTTCCTTTATTTTTCTTTTTAAAAGGGTACTTTCAAAATTAGTCAGATGGAACAAAAACAGACAAAACTTAAATATTATCGGTTAAGACTGAGTAATTCTCTCTCTTCTTCAAAAGGACCTTCCCTCATCTCCTGTCCCCCACTTTGTTACACACTTGGCAAAAGATTTGAAACATGCTCATTACTTTAGCAGAAAATTAATTCACAGGACATATTCATAAAGCTGACTGCCTCTAGCTTGAGAATTAAATCCATCACTGCAGCATGTAGATGAGTTCATCATTGCTTCTCTGCCTGTCTATGACAGTTAAGCATGATGAAGTGCTGAAAAAGTCCATCTGATATTCCCCTTGTAGCTATAGTAGGACTTTCTAATGAAGGAACAAGAGAGGACAGTTGCACAGCCAAGAGGTCAACAATTTGTGGCCAGAAACATCATATCTACAGAATGATGCATGCATATAATATGGACCCCCCTGAGGGACATTTGCTGAAAGTATGGAATTAAAATAAAAGCCTTTTGAAATATTCTGCTACACAGGGAATATATTGATATGAAGAAACCCTTAGCTAAAACATAAGCTCTTAAAGTTCTGATATGAAAAAAAAAAAAAAAGATAAAACTTTGTCTCTGATTTCTGAAGCTTTGTCAATAAGAAAGCCCAATTTCTAAAAAGAGAAAGCACTGTAAAATGAACATGTTCACTAATAAACTCCTCGCTTTGTTTACAGGACATCATGTAACATACCCCAAGAATTACTTCAGAATGATACTGCAGCTAGTCTTAGCTATTTTGTTATGAATATGTGCATTAATCTGTATGTGCATGTCACACACATGTATATGTGTAAAATAAACTCTTTTCTTATTTTATTTATAACTAAATTACAGGAGCCAAACCTGAAACATTCTTGCCACCCCCACAACCAAACACTGACACTTTAGGTAGAGTTTAGGTGCTTCAGTTGTTTCTGACTATATCCCCACACAATAGAGGCTTAAATTAGACTTTTTCATACCTTTGGTTGGAGATTTGGATGAAGTAGCACATACCCATTAGGGTCAATTGCAAAATAGTATCCATTTGGGCAAAGCTGGAAGAAAGAAGGATTATTTAGGATTATATGTTATATATAAGTGCTACATATAGCAATAAGAAAAGTTTATAAGATTGTTTCCCAACAAAGGTAAGAACATGAAAAATAAACTGTCCTGAACATTATGACATATGTGTGGTCCTAATGTAGAAGATGATACATTTTTGAAGGTTTACTTTTTTATAAACTCAAGAGAATAACTTAAGCTAACAAGACCTATGGAGGCCATGTGGTCCCACCCTCTGCTGAAAGCAGAGCTTAATTTCAAAATCAGGGCTTAAGTGAGGTTGCAGAAGATCCACTTTGAATATCTCCAAGGACAGAGACTCCATCATCTCCCTGGGCAAGCTGCACCAGGGTTTTAGTGACTTATATTTTCACAATGATTTCTTTTTTATTTCCAGTTGTATTTTCCCTTGACACAACTATGTTGGTTGCCTCTTGTCTTTTGCTGCAAATTTCCAAGAAGAATCTAGATCTATCTTCTCCAGAACCTCCCACTGAGTAGATGAGGAATGTAAAATTACATTCCTGCTTTTCTTTTCTTCTTCAGTTTGAATAAATCCATCTCAGCTTCTCACACGTTGTAATTTACATGACCTTCAACCACCTCAGTAGCTCTGGACCCCGGTATTCCCAGTGTGTCAATGTATTTCTTATCCTGGGGAGATCAAAATTGGACTCACAGGTGCATTGTGCACCTTTGAACTTCTTTACTCTAAGCATATACTGCTGACCTATGTTCAACCTGTCCTTCACCAGGATCCCCAGGTCCTCTCCTGCTGTTTGCCTGCCTATATGCAGCATGGAATTATTCTGTCCTAGGTGCCTGACATTGCATTGGTCTCTGGTGAAACTCATCCTGCTCATTTGCTTGCTGGGTTTTATGTTCCACAGCAATGGATATTTTCCTAGGAGTTCTTTAGCTGGATGTCTGAATATATAAAGCAATCCCAATGTGTAGTGTTCATTTAAGAACATGACAGCCATGCTCATTTAAGAGCCTTTCTGTAAGGAAGTATCCTGTACAAATACGAAATATAAATGATGAACTACCATGATTTTGTAGTCTAGACTGTGATATTACTTGACAGTGCGGCAGTGCCATAGGTTACAGGGCAATAGATATGGTGATATGGAAGTGTGTGGTCCTCGGGGCTTCTGGAATATAGCCCCATGTAAAAGCTGGCTCTTACAGAAACATCTGGATGGACAATTGTCACAACAGCACAAATATGGCTGGAGAGAAAAGTACCCAAAAACCAACAACAAAAAAGAATATATGAAAAGAAGCTTGGAGCTGACCTGCTTCCCATCAGCACTGTACTGGACAGAAAGAGGAAGCCAAGAAATCATACACAACGCCAACCCACCAACAAAGGCCACTCACCGTAAATCGTGGCGTCAGTTTTTTAATATCCTCCAGAGAGACGTCAACCCCCATTACTCCAAGAATTAGCTGATTCTAGACAAGATTCCAAAATGTTAGTACGTCTGGCCTATTTAAAATGCAAAGTAACTGCAAGAGTCCATGAATCTTAATTTTGCCTTTATCGCTTGCATACCAGATACTAGTTAAAAAGCTGTACATTTACTTATCTTTCTTTTCTGAATAGTTTTAATAATATCCAAAGGGATTCAAAATAATATTCAATATATTCAAGATTCAGAACAGAATATGCAAATTGCTTATCGAAGTGAACATCAGTTACTAAACTCATTACAGCCTTCCCTGAATAAAAGAAAAAGATACTGCAAATGCTTGAATTTTAAGGTCTTTATCAAAACCTATTAACAGAATTATTTTCAGATGGGAACATTCTGGAACACTAGCAGCAAAGAGCAGTGGACATTAATTATATAAGACTCTATAAATGGAGGAAATGGGCTACAGTGCTAATAACTTTATGTTGCTTTTCATGGCAACAACAAATACTGGTGAAATGTTATCAAGGCATTCATATTTTTACTCTTATATGAAAAAATTGGAATATGTGTTGGAAAGTGCATCATGTAGTGTGCACCATAAAATTCAGGTAGAAACAAAGCAGACAGCAGATTCAGGGAATTCCAGGCATTATCTTTTAGATGAGGTTATGAAAACTTTTTTTTATAAAATGAAAGCAAATAAAATAAATGATACTGATCAAACTCATATCTACTCATTCTGAGGCTATGTAATCTCTGAGAAATGGAATAAAAGAATATCTTGGCTAAACTTTCGCATTCTTTGCTTCTTTAAGGGGTAACTGTAACATGAAAACACATTTATATCAGGCTTTTTAATATCAGTGTAATAGATGTAATAGGTGACCTGAATGAACATGAGTATTATGTCAACTGCATATTATTATACACTATAAAACGTATTCTAAGTCTGATTTGAAAAGAGTAGCATTTTGATTTTGCAAAAATATATTTTGATTTAACATCAGACGTTAATAGAGATGGGGAATTGTGTTTGTTTAATATAATTTAATACGACTATATTTATTAAATAATTACTTTAATATTGTATACAGAGCGATATTTTCTATAATCATTATTGTCAATTCATTTGAATTTGAACTCCCAGATCATTGCCTTTTAGCCTGAAAAATCCTATCTTCAAAGACTAAGTTTAAAAAGAATACGTTATTTGGGCTTCCTTTCTTGGAAAGGCCTGGATAATATTATCATTTGTTTCCCATCTCCTGAGTGCTTAAGACAGCCCTGCTGCCAGGAGGTCACCCAGGCAGGGCAGGGGACACCATGGCCTGCAACCCACAATGTCCAGGCCGGGCGGGCTGTGTTTCCTGCTTCCCAGGCAGTTATCGGACAACTCGCGATGACCTGTTTGTTGCTGCTGCACAAAACAATAGGCAGAAGCTTTCTAAGGAATTATACACTCCTCAAGAACTATGGAATTAACTTTCATTCAAATAACTGAAAATACTTTTTCTCTTGTTTTTGCTAAAAGTAACAGCTTACTCTTTTATTATTTTGTCCTTGTGTTAAATTGAAGACAGGCAGAGTTCCAGTGATCACAAGGCCCAGCTCCTAAGAAACAGTCACACACAGAGGGGGAAAAAAGGATTTTTAGTTTTACAACAAATATTAAACTATAAGATATTAAAACTATGCACAGATTACTGTAGCTGAACACTAGATTGCAGTCTTGATTTTCAGTTTGTAAAAAGGAAAAGCAGTAATATTAACTATGTGTATAAAGCTGAGATTGCATTTTTGTGTACAAATATGAATAAGAGTAATACATTTCTTTTAAAAAATAGATGGCATGCAATAATTGAGGATGTAATAAGACCTCAATATTACAAAAACACATTAATACTTACAGTCTTCACTGTACTACAAAATTCAGTTAGTAGAAATAATAAAAAAAAATTTAGCCAAACCAAACTTAAAAGTAGTATGCAGGAAAGTAACACATACAAACAGAGGTAACATGGAAAAAAAAATCAAACAAAATATCATCACTGCTTTACAATGTCTTCTTATAATGTCCAGAAGCAGTTTTGCAAAATTACATAGACTCTTCTAACAGGTATTGCAGTGAAGAATTTTCACTTACTTGGAAGGATATAAGAAATTTAATTTACTTTTATTAACAGTGGCAATATGTACTGATAATCTGAATCAGGAAAAAATATGCTTAGATAGTCAGAAACGGTTTGATTTCCTAAATTGTCCACAGGCAATTCTACCTTTTTAGTGCTAAAGGTTGTTCTAATTTCAAAAATTCATTTCTTTATTGATGCTTATTTTTCTTATGTATTTTAAGTTAGATTCTTATCACTTCTCTGCCTTCATTTAATCTGAATAATATCAACTAAAATATTTTATTAATCCCTTTAACAAAATAAACTCTCTGCATTCCCACTCCTATAGCACCTGTTCCAACCTTCATCCATCTTTCATGAGCTTAAGTTTGTATACCAAATGAAAGGCAGGGAGATTTGTTAGCAAGGTTTCAGTGAGCAAGTCGAGGCAAGAAATGCATTTTTTTAGGGAATAAAAAAGGAAGAAATAGAGATAATCTGAAGAAAGGAAATGACTATTTGAAAGAACAAGCATTAAAGGGGTACATAATGAACCGGGATGAGGGGACGGATAAGACTCGGGTTAAAAAGAAAATTGCCCCAAAATCTATAGTTAGAGAAGACAGTTTGAAAATAATAGTAATGATAAATTAAGAATAACTAGAAAAAAATAAAAGCATCTGAAAATTCTGGGATTGTCTAGCAGAAACTAATCCCAGAGCAACACTGTTAATGAACTCTGAAGGCGAAGAGTGAGAGAAGACTTGTGAATTGCCAAAAATATATCAAATTATCAGAGACCATTTTGAAGGACAGCCTCAAATGAGTATTGGTCTTCAGGATTTCATAACCTGTACTTGAACCTTAAACCGAGTTTCATGAAAAGTGAGTGTCTCTGGTAGGCTGAATTGGAACGCAGCCTCCTGAAACACGTTTTGCACCTGACCCAGTAGGATAAAAAGGATAGAGAAATTGCAGTGCATCACAAACAAGGCAATGGCAAACCCTACATGAGGTTGCCTTAAGGAATTCAAGATAAATAAATATTGTGGCAAATTAGCCCCAATCATGGCTAAATCTAGTAATGAGAAGAGGCCCCAAAGTGGATTACACCCACATGGGCTGTCATACTTGTGATGGGGAAGTCCTCTGTTTCAGCTTTTATCTCAACTATTAGCTTGCACTAATCTTTAGTCAATAAATATATTAGGAGAAGAACCTCTCTCTCTCTCTCTCTCTATATATATATTTGTGTTCATACACATGTATATATATACACTCACACATACATAACGCACACAGAAAAGCTTGCAGAGAAGACTTTAACCTACTGAAATGAGAGCAACAGGAGAGAAGAGTGAGGGTATCCCTCTCATTTTGCTTAGTTAGGTAGATCTTTCTCTATCCTGCACCACAGCTTTGGCTTTACAACAGGATATTCACAGAATATATGAACTTTTGTCATCACATCCTTAATGCTTCCAGTAAGAACCTCAGCGGCAACCAAGAAAATGTGGTTAATGAACTTCTGGCCATTGAAATTCCAAAGAAAGAAAAATTGGTTCCTCTGTGTCATGTTCTGCTCTGTGATGAGTTGATAAAAAATTTACAGTAATGCTGACAGTGGGTTTTGACATGACATTATATGACCATGTGAACTTGGATAAAGACACGATTCGGATAACCATTTAACAGCAATTTACAGAAGTACTCAGAAGAAAGTTATCTAGAGCAAAAGTATGCATTGCTGCTAATAATACTTGGCATTTTGCAGTTTCCTGTATATGTTTGTTTTACAAGACCAAAGTGATAAATTGAGCAGCAACGAAAGTGCTTGTTCTATCTTTTTTGTTTATTTCCCCGTTATATACAGTGTCCAATTAACGCAATCACCCTCATTGCATGACTGATGATCTCTGCTACAGCATAGGTAAACCACTGGAAAAGTTTTCTTTTTTCTTTTGTTAGTCTGAGGACACCAGCGAGTGACCTACGTTTAAGGATCTGATCATAGGATAAATTATGTTTCTTTGGGTAAGAACACTTATGAGGATAGCAGGTGAAAGCAACAATGAGCATATCGGTATGAGCTGTTCAGAAAAATTTCCCTAAGTGTACAGAAATGAGAAATGCAAGAATATTCTGTCTGGGATCGTAGGAAATAGAGTCATCAGGACTGTGGATAATGGTACTCTAGAGATAAATGAATATTCTACAAATATCCTCTTCTAATTTTATATGCCAAATATCTGCTTTAACATTTTGACAGTTCTTCTGGTTATGGACTTGCTAGGCCTTTCACATACGAAGATTCTCACTTAGCCAGAGATAAACAAATACAGTTCATACCAGAGCATCCAGATAGACATTTGTCCACTGGACCTGTTTGGCTCTCTCTCCAGCTAGAACCATCGGTCTTCCCAAAACATCCAGATATTCCTGCCAAAAAGTGTAATAAATTCATCAGAAGTAGTTATTAGATTAAGTCCAGAAACAGCATAGAAAATAAACATTAATGAAATGAATACAATGAAAATAGAATTAATGTCCAAGTTCAAAAGTAATATAATAATTCAATAAAGTATTTCTTTGGAATTGTACTTGCCAACAACTCAGTTTTCAATTGGCAGTACCTATTGTCAAGGAAATCCCTACATTTTAGAGTCAGGTTACAGAACTATAATCACTGTTTTCGTTCCAAGAAGTGAGAATTTAAATTTCTGTTCAAAAATTGTTTGCTAATAGTGAAATTACAGCTAGATCCCAGAACCTTCAACCCAGGAGAGGGAGCAGGCAGTGGAGAGTGAGAGGTTAACAGGAAC